TTGTATTTTTATCGAGATTTTTTTACATATTTAGAATGTTACCTGTTAATTTTTTACGCCGAGTTAGGTGTGAATGTTCTTACGTAAATAATTTTATCATCTTGGGATTTCCGATCTAGTGACCTTTGCCGCTGTTGAAAGTTATGTAGTTGTAGAAATTATGTGTTATGGAGTCGACAGATGGCGCTGCCGCCTCAGCGCTCGGTGCTGTGGCACGCTGTTGGGCGCCGCTGTGTGGAGGGACCAGCGGCGGGGCCTTATTAGAGAGGGCCTGTGATCGATGCAGAGAGAACGCACAATCTAATGACTAGGTGGCAGCCAAGCAGCAGTAGCAGCAGCAGTCAGCAGCGGCGGCGGGGCCCCAGCAGCGTCGGGCCAGCGGCGCAAGCTTGCAGTAGGCAACACAACGTCATCATCATCGTCGTCGTCATAAATCTCATCATCAGCAGCGCCAGCAGCAATCACAACATCATTATCATTCATCAGCAGCAGTAGTAGTAAGTAGCCAGCAGCAGCATCCTCTCTCTCTCTCTCTCTCCTCTTTCTCTCTCTCTCTCTCTCTCGCTCTCTCTCTCTCTCTCTCTCTCACTCTCTCTCTCTCTTTCTCTCTCCTTTACTCTTTTCTCTCTCTTCTAGAGAGAGAGAGAGAGAGAGAGAGAGAGAGAGAGAGAGAGAGAGAGAGAGAGAAAGCAGACAACCACCTTCACCAGAAGTCGCGAGAAACGCCGGAATCAGAGATCGATCGATCGCACAACAACATCAACAATCAGTCAGTCAACAACACAGGGATAAACAGGGATTCGGAATACAAACTCCATACTTATGCCGTGCGCAGCTGCCATTGGTCACATCCGTATCCTATGTTATCCCGTCGCCATGGTAACCGACGTCCACCCTGTAATCTCACGGAAGCCCTCTCTCCGAAGAGCAGCTTGTTCACCGAGTGCTGGTTTCCATAACAACCGGATGCCGGAGCACACGCGCACACACCCGGGACACACAGGCGCAGACGAGAGATCAGCACTGTATGTGCGAGCAGCGTCTGTGTTTGATGATAGCAGACGCGGACTCACTGCGTGCAGCGAGGCAACTGATGCGGTAACTAACGTGGACGTACGAGCGCAGACGCTCAGCTCGCAGACGCTAACAGACGCTAGCGTTCGTACTATAGCCCTCCCTTCTTCCTGCTGCTGCTGCTGCTGCTGCTGCTGCTGCTGTTGCTGCTGCTGCTGGTGGTGGTGGTGGTTGTCCTGCCGCTGCTGCTGCTGCTCCTGTATTATTTGAAACCCTAAACCAAACGACGGCTGCAGCCGCTGCTGCCCAAGCGAGTTTACGTCAACGCGGCCGCTGCAAAGCGTTGATATACACCAAGAAAGTTTTGCCGGGTCGCGCGTTTAACCAGCCAAGCTCTCCACGTGCCTCACGCTTTTTTTTCTTTCTCTCGCTCTCTCTCTCTCTCTCTTTCTTACTTTATCTCTCGCTTTCCTTCTTTCTCTCTCTCTCTCCCTCTTCCGCTCCCTGTCTCTCTCTCTCTCCCCCTCTCTCTCTATTTTATCTCTAGCGCGCTCTCTGTACGCACTACTACTGCTGCTGCTGCTGCTGCGGCGGCGGCGGCGGCTGCTGCTGCTGCTGCTGTTGCTGCTGCTACTGCTGCAGTAACATGGCATACATATACACGTATTCACGCATTCCACAAAAACGCCTGGCTGCAGGATTATAGGCGGTAAACGTAATCACTGAATATTGCTAAACACTGAAGTCGACACTAAGGCTTCACGTCGCTCCCTCGGCAGGAGGAGGATGCTGAGGAAGATGCCGATGACGATGCGTGGAGGCTGCGCCGGTGCGCTAGCGGCTTCTATCTCTCTCTCTCTCTCTCTCTCTCTCTCTCTCTCTCTCTCTCTCTCTCGCTCTCTCTCCTTATATATCTCACTCTCTAGCTTTCTTACATCTCTATCTCTTGGTGCCTTACATATTACTCTCTCTAGCTTTCTTACATCTCGCTTTGCTCTCTCGCTCTCTCTGCAGAATCTTCTTCTGACACGCTGGCAGACGATGCGGTGGCAGAGTAGAATATCGCTTTCATAACGCGCTCTTTTGATCTCTTTCTCTCTCTTTCTCTTTCTCTCCTCTCTCTTTCTCTCTCTCTCTCTCAATCTCTCGCTCTCTCTCTCTCTCGTCTTCTCTCTTCTCTCTGCTCTCTTCTCTTCTCTCTCTCTCCCTCTCTCTCTGCTCGCCGCTCTCTCTCTCTCTCTACTTCTCTTCGCTCTCTCTCGGTCGCGCGCGCGGGCGTCGTGCGTCTCTCCTCTCTCTCTCTCTCGCGCGCGCGCGCAATCTCTCTCTCTCTGCTGTTTCTCTCTCACTCTCTCTCTCTTTTCGCTCTCTCTCTCTCTCTCCTTTTTCTCTCTCTATCCTCTCACTTCTCGTCTCTCCCTCCCTCTCGTTCTCGTTCTCTCGGTCCTTTCGCCGCGCGCTCTCTCTGCACTCTCTCGTGCTCTCTCTCTCTCTCGATCTCTGCCTGTTTCCTCTCTCTACTCTCCTCTCTTCTTCTCTCTCTCTATCTCTCTCTTTTAAAAAAGAAAA